TGAGAGTGGGGAGGATAGGACAGACAGGGATGTTGAGAGGGTTAATTTCCCAACACTCAACCATGACATTTAGATTTGAACTGCATCTACAAAGCATGCAAGGACATAAAAGGCATCCTCATATCTCCGCCTTCCTATTATTAGAACTGTGCATAGCAGAGCACATACTCTTAGGTTTTTTCGGTAAAGTCACGTAGGTAAAACATAATAATAAAAATAAAATAATAAATGAAAATAACTAAATAAAATCACGACGTTTCGGAGGCAACACAAGTCTTCTTGTGTTGTTATGCGTTGCCTCCGAAACGTCGTGATTTAATTTAGTTCTTTCATTTATTACTATTTTATTATTATTATCATGTTTTACCAACGTGACTTTACCGAAAAAACCTAAGAGTATGAATCCTTGCAGTCACGAAAGCTTCAAATCTAGTACATGTATACATCGACACTGTGCCCATAACAGACAGCATCTATCATTATGTATTACATTTCCATACCAGTTTCAGCTCGGTCTATGCAACACACACACAAACACACACTATACACTTGTTGAGTACTAACATTCTATTTGGTGATTAGAGACGAGTTCCGTCTCTAATCACCAAACAAAATCTATCCACTGTTGGACGAGGCTCTCCCCAGTTATTCGCGATGCCTCGTGGTTTTCCCAGCTCCACGGTGGTGCTGGTCGAACGTGATAGCCTCCCGTTTGACAGCGACACCATCATAGCCATCATCCCCTTGAGTGCCGCGGTGACAAGATGTCGGCTCCCACGCCGTGTTAGGCAGGAGGTCGTGCGTTCGATTGGGACCCCGACGACGCATGCATATTTTGGAGTTTGCACGTTTTCTAGAGCTCCCGTTTATTAAAGATTAAGCCTCTAGCAGTAGTATATGCATTGTACTTCGCATTGTGTCTATACTGGTATCAATTCGCATACATGGCCTTTGTGTACTCGAATGGCTTGTTCACTAAAATACTTCTGGGGGGGAAAGAGGACCAAAACTTCGTTCTTTCTGTAAAGTTGCGTAGAATGGAAATAATAATATAACAAAATAAAACAATAAAATAATATATTATTTTATTATTTCCATTCTACGTGACTTTACCGAGAGAACCAAGAAGATGAATCCCTGCAGTCACGAAAGCTTTAAATCGAAATTTAGGTCTAACGTTTTGGAGAACAGCCCTTCTTCAGGGCAGGAGTCCAGAGAGCTCACAGACTTGAAATTAGAGATCACACTTCGACACTGCAGAGACGCGAGGACACCCAACAACCTCGTAATAAACATTTGCATTCGCGGAGTTATTGTTTGAAGGTGGGTGGCAGATTTCAAGAGTATATATATAGCCTTGTGTCTCGGGAGACAAATATATCTTCACCACTTCCCCCGCAAACGGCACGACACTTCCCCTCACCCAGCCTCTTATCCGCCAGCTCCCCCCATCCAGTAACAAAAGGAGACAAGACCAAGAACTACAATAAAACCGAGGAAGCAAGGCACCCTCTACAGCCCAAGGAAGCCGAGCAGCAGGTGAAAGCGGCAAGCTGTGCAATTTCCACATAAGTGATAGGCATTTGTCCCCCGAGGTATGCCCAATGGCACTTCCATTCACCAGCAGGGAAATGCATGCACGGAATTCCGTGCATTATGGATGAGGCTCTGGGAGGACTTTTACCCATCATCCACCGTCTCCATTCAAGCACGCACCTCCCTTTCACACCCGCTCAACTGCAACCAAATTGTTTGTTAATTGCACAATTTTCTTGGGAGAGACATTTCAGCGGGGCCCGGAATTTCTATGTGCAGGCTGCACAGCTTGCTATATTTATATATTTATTGCTACGGATTTCTAAACGCTGCACCCAGGGAACAGTTGTGTTTCCAAGTAGGGAAGGGTGCCTATGAAGGGAAAGCTCATGCAAGGCAAATATTTGCTTGCGGTGCCGAGAACCGTGCGCTGTTGTTTCATTTGGAAGTTGAAGACCGCGTGGTAGTAATAATATTAGCACTGTATGTGTATATATATGAAGGGATAACCTTTCAATTGTCTGTGTCGTTAAAAGGCAAGTCAGGTCAACGGAGAAAAAAAAAACGTCGCTCAGGACCTTAAAGAATGTTTGCTTACAGTGAAGTAGCAATTATCTTTTTGTGTGTGAAATACAAAAACCTGATCATTTAAAAAAAATTGATACACGTCACGAAATGAAATTCAATTTCGCTGCGAGCCATTACATGGTCAGTTTAAAAGAACTCGTCTCTCTAGCTCGCCGACGTGGTTTTTTTTTGGGGTCGATAGCAGACAGACATTTTACTCCAAGCGCATTTTTTTCATTTGATATCCTGCGGCAGCGCCCAGTACCATGCAGCGAGCGTCGGACAGGACTTGGAGAAACAAGCGGCAGAGCCCAGAAAGACCTCTAATAATTGCCGATGAACAGAACCTCCAACTAGAAGCACCGTGGATAGAGCAACTTGACTCCCAGCAGCAAGTTTGTGGGGTTCAGCCCAGCACCTCATCAAGGGTTCATAATACTGTAACACCTTTTTTTTTGTTCCTGGGTAGTAAGTGTTATTTACGAACTGCTTATGCCTTAAAAGTACGAAAAATGGCTGTTATTCCCCACAAACTTTGCTTTTGTGACCAGGACAGTGATATTTTGAAATTTACCGATTTTCAATGAGAAAACGGGCAAATGTGTATTTTCGTTCACATAAAGTCAGAAAAAACAACATACGAATCAAAATTAGCATGTATTTATACTAAAATAATACAAAAATTACTACAAAAGATTTAAAAGCGAGTAGTTTTTCGAAATTTACGATTATACTGTAAATCACTTTCACGAATCAGCCCCCAAATGTAGTCTCCCATCATGTTCTCGTTATACTGTCCTTGGTAGCGGCGTTCAAAGTCTAGTATATCCTGGTGGAAGCGCTCGCCTTGCTCCTCCGAGTACGCTCCCATGTTCTCCTTGAATTTATCAAGATGAGCATCAAGGATGTGCACTTTGAGGGACATCCTACAGCCCATTGTTCCTGGCTCTCCTCCTTCTACCTGGCTCCCCTAACTAGCAGACGTCTCACTCTCTCTACTTACCCTCCTCCCTCGCCCTTCTCCCCGCAGTACTCCTCTACAATTGTAATAATAATGCACCGAACTATACAGCGAAACAGTATAAAGCTCGAGAAAAATATGCTTTAACGCCCAGTATTTTTCTTGCTCAAAATGCACAGACGGGTGGTGCATCTTTTCATTGGTCACCCGCAGCTGGCAATGGAAATTCCACATTGTCATAGTCGTGGTCGGTTCCTCCATAGCACAACCACCATCAGCATCTCGCAACGCCGTTGCCAATTGTATAGGACCAAGGATGTTGGGTCGAGTTAAACCCCAACCAGGGATTTGAAATCGCAACCTTCCACAGAACCATTTGGCCATATGCATTTTAAGTAAACTAACTTAAAAGCGATGTATTTTCAGCGAGACTCACTGCTCGTGGAGGTGATGACGAACTGGGCTGTTTTGTGCTCTCTCTGCCTCAACGGCATCTACTTTAGAGGCCATGTAACCATCCCAAACAATACAGTGGCCACATTTAAGACATCTGTGCAGCCATCAAATGCTTCACATTTATAGACCCATAAACACACAAAAAGGCACTTTAACACCAGAAAAGGCAATCTGCCGTGGGCTGAACAGAAGCAACCCACTTTTACAAGCGGTGCGTGTTTGCGCGCTCGTGTACACAGAGGGAAAGTAAATGGCACTTCATAGAGATAACTGTACAGGTGCTTGGATGTTAGGATTCCTCATATAATACGATGCAACCTAACAACACTTCATAGATCTGTGTCTCCATGCAAGAGGTGAAAGTGAATTTCACACAACCCATGGGAGTGCCTCATTTGAGTAGGATTGATTCAGTGCACGCAAACTCTGGACCGCATGGCAAAGACAACATTGGGCGCAGGTCGGGAATTTTTTTTTTCTATGTTTAAAAACAAACAAGGCAGAGAAAACGCTCGCAAGAAAAAGATCGTCCTTTGTGGATAATGCAAAAACCATCAACAGTATATGAACTGCATTGTGATCAGCTTGAGGTCGTCATCAAATAAATTTAAACTAATTTTGCATAGAGGTTGTGTTGGGTTAGATGGCATCAATATAAAAGTGTCGTTAAACCCGCCACCACCCGACACAGCCAATCAGTAGGTTTGTCACGTAAACAAAAAAACATGCCAATTCGTTACCAGTTCAGCACAACGAGCATTTACATTAAGTTCGACGTTTCGCCGGTAATAACAACTGGCCTCATCAGGTGACAGCCAGAGTAAATAAAGGTGACAGACTTGCAGGGAGCAGTCAGACAACAGGGGCACAACTACCGACCGGTTGTCTCCACATTAAAGGATCATCGCACTCGACGAATTTTTTTTTTATATAGATTGAAAACGAATTTCTTTAGAACGGCTTTTTTGTGGTTTAGTTCGTCGTCCTTACCCCTGCACCTCCGCAATGAGCACTAGTGGCTACGAACGGTGCGAAAGAAGTTCACACATACTGTAGAGTACATACATGCTTGCCTGTCAATTAGTCGCACAAATTCTGCTGATATTATTTGGTCTGGAAAGCCAATAGGTCAAATGACTATAGAATTCTACTATATTTGCAAATAATATAACTGTTTATAACAATACTCTTAGGTTTTTTCGGTAAAGTCACGTAGGAAAAAATAATAATAGAAATAGAAATGAAATAGTGATTTATTATTTTATTTCTATTATTTTTATTATCTATTTTTATTTTTACCTACGTGACTTTACCGAATAAACCCAAGTGTATGAATCCTTGCAGTCACGAAAGCTTCAAATCTAGAATATTTATAACATATTGCCTCAACAATGTAACATGAATGCGCGTAGAATGCCGTTGTGTAAAACATTCACAATTACCTCCAGAACGTGGAGATTCAACTCGGCTCGCATCATACCTCCTGGGTGGATGAAATAAGCTTCATTTGGTGGGACGTGGTTACCAATGGTTGCGTATTCGGCCACTTCGTCTTCAGAACGCACCAAAGTGTCCTTGCCCAAGATGCAATCACGCGTCTATCGCTTGGCTGGCAGGAAACACGAATAAATAATGAGTAGGAATCTGACAACAACAACAACATTACATTTTAAATAAACGCACTGCCTTTGAGCGGAAGGGGTAAGGGGGGGGAAATCGAGAAAACCTGTTACTTAAGCTCTCCAGAAATTAAGCGCCTGCAATATTATCCAACCACACAGCTGGTGAGGCGAGTGCAACAGGTGCCGCTTCATAGACAAGCCACAGAGACATCAGCAGGGGCAACGTCTCCTGCCCTGCAATTTGCCTTGCGCTCTGGCTGATGGCCCGCAATTAAGGCGAGAGAGAGAGAGAGAGACCCTACGCCACTACACCCGCTCCTCCCAAAAGCCCCGTGTGAAACAATAGCGAGAGGAAGCGCTGCTTATGTTTATCTAGTCCAGGGGTCGGCAACCTACGGCTCCGGAGCCGCATGCGGCTCTTTACGGGCTGCTTCTTGACGATATGTACGTATGTACAGTATGTACTCAGATGCATTGCGGCTCTTGAAATACTGAATTTTGTACCGAATTGGAAAGAAATGGCTCTTCTTGTTATTTTGGTTGCCGACCCCTGATCTAGTCGTTCGCTTACTTTCTCCCGCGCACTTACACGTTACACATCTGAAACAGAGCCATTGACATTCCCTCGCGAAATCGCACTGCTGCCGTCCGTTCGTCCGCTGGTTAAAGACATACAAATAAGGGGGCAAAGACGCAGGCACTGATACTTCCTACTCACGCATCGACAGGGCGGAACGATTTCCCAGTGGACGAGGGCTTTAGAGCAGTGGTTCTTCACCTTCACTGCAGCCTTGCACCCCTTTGGTTCTCAACAGTTAAACAAATGATAATTGGTTTTTTACCCTTCTATCTGGCAACAAAACTGACACCTTTTTTTACAAGGAGTCATGTTTACATAGACCACAATACCTGCAGTCATAATGCCAACAAAAAACATAACTCTGATAATGTGCACTGTCCTTGAAGTTGATTGGTCCACACCCGAGACAGCCTTCCTTAGAGCCTAGTCTCACATGGGTTAGGTGTCAGTTTTGTTGCCAGATAGAAGGGTAAAAAAGCAATTATCATATTTTTACTGGCAAATGAGGTTCCAATGGAGTTAAACAAATGTCAATAAATACGTAGGGTTTGATGGAAAAAAGGTAGTTGTACTTGCGTGCTCGTGATTAGTATTCTCGATAATTTATACCTTCTAAAAGAATCTGGCCATGTGTCGCACCCCCAGAAAGGGCATCTCGCACACCCAGAGAGGTGGGTGTACCCTAGGTGAAGAACCACTGCTCTCGAGCCTAGAAAGCTGACGGAGGATATTTTGGCCCACTCGGTTCCAACACGGACAAGACCGTCTGGAAAATGTGTACCCACATTTTACCCCGCCACTTGCAAACGGCCAATAGACTCACTGTGGCGGATTTATAAATGATTAAAACACGGGTACACCAACGCCTGCAATGATGCCGTGGTTGTTGTGGAAACGAGTTCTTGCTTTTCTTTCAGCATACCTCCCCACCCATTAAGCAAACGTGGTACTACTGTTCCCGCAAAACGTGCGCTTTAAAAAAAAGGCACTAACAATCATGGTCAAACATGGGAGGAGAATTTCACTATGCTACTGAACAATGTGTGGGCTGGGCTCGGGACGTTGTATATTGATTTACGATTGCAGCTGGGTAATAGAATTGAAGCTTAAAACTACTTTCGGTTCGGTTTGTATGCATGCTTGCTGAACAAAAGGTAAAGTAAACGTAGATAATTGTGCATATCAAAAAAATTGAAGTATTTAGCTAAACTTTTTTTTATAAAACTAATCTTGCGTAAAAATGTTGCGACACAGTATTTAAAATAAGCCGAAAGTAAAAATGTCTCCATACTCAAATGTGTATTCCTTTTTTTGAGCATCTAAATCATGGGTAGAAATTACTTATTCTTGTACTACAGATCCATCATCATTCAAGTACAGCCACCACTATCGACTCTTGACAAATAGGTACAAAACTGCAACAGCTCCCTCAATTCAGGAGCTTGGGTTTCTCAAGAAGCTCCCGGCACGGCGAGTTAAACGTTGGACATTATGCCGAGCAACACGCAGTACAGCTCGTACACAATGGGAATCTAATGTGGTATTACACATTTTTGTCAACAGCAGGTCGGCTCAGTCCAACTTAAACTGGGACTAAGGTTGGCTACCGTCGGATTGAATGGCCGATTAATTCATAGCAATGGATTTTAATACTTTCAGAATGGACACGGTTTTGGCATGCACAATTTAAAGGGGGAAAAAAAGTTATCGTTATCCGGCTACTGGTCTTTCCATACGTACATCGAATCAGTCACATTATCAGCTCATTAGGGACTTCCTGCACAATAATGGCTCATGCAAGAAATGCCTTTCCTGTAATAAGGGAAGTGTGTATATTGCAGAAGGTGCAAAATGATAATGAAACTCACCCTTTATTCACTGCATAGGTTCGTGTATAAGTAAATGTCAATAAAAATATATGTACTTTGGCAACATCAGATTTTACTAATTGGAAGATAAAAAAACGAAATTAGTCAAACAACCTAAGCAACTCTTTGAGACAAAATTTGAAGTTTTCTCCTAACATTCCCCGATGTATTACAGTATTTAATATTAAGTATTCATAATAAATTTCAACATTTTGCCAAAACCACTGTTGAATCAAGGCTTCCCCATGCAATGTTGCTCATGGAAGGTGCTTGCCCATACTTCATGCTGCTGCTCAGTATCGTATGGTTCAAGCAGAGGGGTTGCCCAGGCTGGTTCCGATACTCGGACCTCAGACTTTCCTTCATATGTATGTTGATGTTCTTTTGCACCGTACGAAGCCAACTGTGCTAATCGGGAGGTGCGGGGGAATAAAAACACCAAACACAAAAGCAGTTCTCAAGGGAGTTTTCAATATTGATTTAAAAGTGCATAGCTTGAGAGGCTTCCTAAAATTAAAAGATAGAGCGTTCCAGATGGCCGCAAAAGCACATCTGAAAGCACGCGATGCAGTGCCCGTCTTTGTCCGATGGCAAGTCAAAGATAATATAATCGAACTTAGTGGCTGGGTTCGTAGTGCAGTCTACTAACCAACGCACATTCACCCCCACCCCCATGAATATTATGAGTTTACTTCTTTAAAATTGCTTTCAAAATGCATTCAGTAAAATAAATGTTAGCTTGCCCATGACCATTTTTTTTACTTAAAAAATATATCCAGTATATTTCAATATCATTAATTTCTAAAATACCGCCGAAAGGGTCAAAGCACATACCAATACCATACGCTGCTATAGAAGTCCATATTTCTACTCTACAATGCAACTGTTGTCTTCGTGGAAGTTTTAGCGGTTCAAATGGTAGGTATTTGTCTCCAATAAGGGCTCAAACTAAGGGTGTGCTACTTGTGATGAAAGGCCTGCCCCTTGACCACATTCCCACCTGCATTCAATATTTCCCGGTATTAAAATCACGCACAATACATCTACACCGTTTTGGCCAGGTTGTGATGGTGCGGACGGATTTACCCTTGCAGCAATCGGATTAATCGTCTAAATGCCGGGACACAATTCGATTCAGAATTTAGATTGTTTGTGTACACTGCAGTAGCTGCTTTATACAACATACAAATACAACGATACGTTGGTTGTCACAGACATAGAGGTAGGTAATCGAGGCATCGTAACTCTTATTTTATTTCGTACATTTCAGCGACTTCGTGAGTCTGGGATATTACAAAGACAAACGACTAACACCAGCAGCTCGTTAAGGTGCACGTTTCCTAGACGTTTACATTCCACCACTGGACGGCCGATTCTCGGTGCACAAATCTTCCCATAAATGTGTTCATCCTTTCATCCATCACTTCGTTTCCCCACTCCAGCGCTAAGAGGCGCGTTGGTTTTAATTGTGGCGGATGTTTGTGTAACGGTTCCCCCTTTCATACCGTTGTGTGTTCACGTTGTTTCCTCGCAGTGGCTGTTGGTAATTACAGTGCATTTGTTTTAGTTTACCATCAAACTAGTGGGGGTGGGGGATAAACAAAACAGTTGAAGCGTGCCAACATATGGTTGTCAAATGTGTGGGTTTTTTTGGGACCTAGTGGTGCTCTTGGTAAAGTGCTGGATCCACAATTTGAAGGTCAAAAGTTTTAATAAATGGGCAGGGGTGGATTAAAATTAACGATAATTTTGTGGCAAGTCAAAACGCATTGGGAGTGCTGGTGCTCGTATCGATTAGCATTCTACCTGCAACGTTTTCCTGGATAAGAGTTAATTGGCGAATCCATTCTATTACAGTATATTACAGTGTATGCATTTTTTAAAATACTCCCAGGATCAGTAGCGTATTGTGGAAAACTGCAGAAAATATAATCTGCAAAGTTCGTCAATTCCACCTTATCATCGCAGACTAATGTACTTCACCAGTGCTACTTGGTTAAAATCAATGGTCCTTTACCTGGTTAAATAAACACGTTGTGTATATTACAAAACACACACACACCAGTACCCGTACAAATATATTCTGTAATGTCCTTAAAACAAAAACTAAAAATTTGAGGACCAGCAAAACATATATGTTTGCAATTGATAAATGGTGTCCTTTTCAAACAGATAATATACGTAATTAGATACGAACTTATCACACCATCCCTTGAAGAAAGCTAGTGAAACGCACAAACGCTGCAAAATATATATTTGCTGTACTGCATTCAAAGCACTGGCTTTCTTACCAACATAACTAAATATAAAATAGAACATTTCAAAAGGTAAATTTCCAAGCGAATTCAATTGTGTCCGTAATAAACGACGACAAAATATTGAAAATAATGTGATTTTACACGTGGCACATACACACATGCATATTGTGCACGTGCAAAATAAATTGTACGTTATAGGTAACCAAATTATAAAGTTCAAAGCATGTGTGTAAGGTTATAAAACATACCTGCAGGGAGGCTTTTTCCCCCAATCCACTTCATGCATTATTAGTAAAGACATCTTCTTGGTGACGAACAATTCATCTAAAGAGTTTAACATCACGGCGAAGTCAAGGATCGCGTTCAGTGCCCTTTAAACTCCACCTTGGTACATATTGACAACTGCATACTAGTGAACTTGCATAACGCTGTACATTATTTGTTTCATTCGCTACAATAACGGTACTTGTTTCCAATGTACGCAACTGTATTCGTGTATGTACGTCCAACTGCTTTCGCAACGTCCGTAGCCAAACCGTGCTAATCGAAAGAACTGCCCTTAACATCGGCATGTCGACACTAGATGAGACGACGATCATCCATTTGTACGCGGACTCGCAAAGTTTCCCCTGCAAGTTACCCACGCGAAGCAAATGCAGCGGATGCCATCGTTGTTTGCAGGTGCACACTGGAACGTTTCACTCAGGAATTAAGCAGGACAGGTGGGAAATGGCCTCGAGAATGGAGACTGCATTGCAACGGATGGAATTATTGTGCTCGTCCTGTTTGCAGGATCGTCATTAGACCTGTTAAAAACCATCTGTATTTCCAAATCGCACGCTGCACCAATCGTCTAATCACTCATTACACACCTGCGAACCATAACAAGCAACAACTTCCACGGCCATTTCTTTTCAATGAGTCACCATTTTTAAATAAATAAATACCCGTTGACGTTAATTCGGGCCATGTTAAGAGGGTTGTAATTTTCCTACGACACTGTTTACGTATCTTTAATTTGGAGGTGATTGCGGTGCAAATAAAAAATATATATATAAATCGCTCGTGAAACAAACTATATATGAAGTGGTAATTTAATTAACCCAGTGACTTGAATTAGAAGCAATGGGAATTGGTATTTAAACTTGCCCTAAACCTTCCCATTCACCAATCTGCATTGATAGGTTAAGTATGGTCAAACATAATCCGAATATGTATTATACTGGAGAAATCCGATGAGCTGTAAAGCTCTTTCTCACAGATGCCCAGCAGATCCCAATGACCGACATTGCATTGGAGAGGCATCCCACAACTCCCTCACGTACCACGCCAGAATAAAACTTCACCCGTAAAAACTAAGTTTTTCACTCTAAATCCTTTATATGCGTGGCGGCTAGAGTCATCTCGTCCTCTGGCTTGAGATGACTGCCACCTATGGGTCAGATGATTGCCTGCCACCATTAAGCAATTGGTAATTAAATATAATTTATTTTTTCCTAAAAAGTGTAAAATTTTGGAGAGAAAAAATTCACGAAAATAAATTGTCACGCACAACGAGTCTGTGTGCAAAATGTCAGCTCAATTGGATCACGGGAAGTGGGTTAAAAAACGACCGAAAGATTTGCACGGTCGTAAGCACGCAAGCAAGCAAGTGAACTTAATATAAAGGATTTAAAAAAAATAGGTGCTCACTTACAGCACTGTGTGCAACAGGCGACAAGGCTATACAAGATATATTTTGCATGTCAGTTTAACACGACCAATATTATCCATGATAGATTTTGTTTTGGGGTTAGATCGTGTAAATATAAATGTGTGGCCTGATGATGCTGGTTGAAATTACTGGCGAAACGTCGTACTCGAATAGTAAATGTTGTGGGTTTTACTCTCCAACACACCGGTGTGCCTGAACTAGTAAGGCATTGGCATGTTCTGTTTACGTGACAACCCTTACTAATTGGCTGTGGCGGGTTTAACGACTCATTTATATTCACGCAACCTAACCCAGACACCTCTCTTATGAATGACATTTGGATGTGGATGCCACAAACATATTGCAGGAAGGTGTCGGCTTGCGGACGGCGCTGCAACGCAAACGATAACAGTTGGCACCACACAGAGACACTGTCAGTGGAAAGTGGCGTCTAAAACATGTCCTGGGGATTCCTCCTGGAAGTTTATTTTGGCTTAACTCAGTGCCTGGCTGGGGTGGATGTGTAAGCGTCAGCGCTCGGGACACAGAGTCGGCAAGGCGTGGATTTGAACGCACCATCTCCACGTGCTATTTGCTGACCTGAATACATATACAGTACGCACATGCTAACCAGAATTTGGCCCAGCATCGTTCACTGCGTTTCTGATTGTTCGTTGGAGAAATGAGCCCCACGTATACCATGAAGATGTTCTTCATTCACTGTCACAGCAACAATGGGAAGAAGAAAATCGTTGCTGGTCACCCACCCCCTCGTGTGCTGTCGCGGCCTTTTGAGGTGCTCGCTAACAGCACTTGCCCCACAAGTCTTGAAAAAGACTATAGGGGGATCTTTGTTTTTATGTCGTAAATAAGCTTCAGATCTTAGGAATGATCACTGTTTCATTGCTCATAATTCGCAATTCACTTTTACCTGATTGCCAGTGTCATTGCTGTGGTGCTACCCAGTTGGGTAATTTATTAACACAATTGGCTACGTACTGTGCAGAATAAGTTCAACATACATAATAGATTAAACGTGCACCAAAAGCAAAGCGAGGCAGAAAAGCATTCGCGTGATGATTTTTTAACGTATTCTGCCAAACTCTACATTGTTGAAAAACACATTCACACTGCTCACATAGCATTGATCTCATTACAATTAATTCGTCAATATTTTACGGAAGTAAACAAGGAATCTGAGTAGATCGGCTAAACAATAATATATTATTCCAGTGAGTTTGCTCTTTGAATCTTTACCACTTTCACTGTCTCAAGAGTTAAGTACAGTTATTTTTTTGTAAACACGGATTGCAATTGTATTTTCCCATTATTATTGTCGTTTTTATATGTCACGATTATAATGAATGAACTCTCATTAGCAGCATATGCAGAACACATGCAAAAACAGAGTTGTTGTTGCTGTTGTCATCGTGAGCACATACAAGGAATGGTGTCACAACAAAAGAGGCACTGTTCAGTTTGAGAGTAGGTGATGTTGTCACAGCTGTTTTGAAACCACCTTGTTTATTAACTAACACAAATACAGCAGATCGTCTAAAAATCCAGATAAAATGATGGTAACGTTATTTAATGCAAAGGAATCTGGATGAATGGCATACTCAATAGAGCTGGCTCCCAATGTTTTCCACACATTGCCAGAGTTTTAAAAGTAATTATTTGCACTCACTTACATGTTTTAGTGACTTATGCTTTATTCTATCAACAAGAAGTTTGTGGAGTGACCCAAAGAGGTCTTCGGGGCTGGAAATAAACACTTGGAATATTTCTGGAATATATTGGAATATTTCTGGACACAAATGCCTTGCACTTCAAGGGTACCAACACTTTATATTATCGAGAGCAGTGGTTCTTAACCTTTACTGCAGCCTTGGGTCTTAATCGTAAAAAAAGAGTATAATGTTAGTAAATACATAGGGTTTTATGAAACAATGAGTTTTACTTATTTGCCCGTTCTTAATTTGAATTCCGATGATTTACCTTCTGAAAAATATCTGGCCACGTCTCGCACCCCCAGAAAGGGCATCTCGCACCCCTAGGAGGTGAGTGCATCCCGGATTAAGAACCTCTGCTCTAGAGCAACTTCCATTGTGGTCAATCACGCAGTTCGGTCAGAGTTTTCTACATCAGGATGCAGATTTTATTTTGATTAACCACCCTCGATATATGAGCTGCGCTACCGGTAACAGGCGTGGTATAGTTCTGAAAAATCAACAAACGAAACAGGGAGTAGCTTCTCACGGTTAGTGATGCTTCCTGTGGTATGCAAACGGACTCAACAAGCTCCTCTATTGCAGCTGCACTGATGCGACCTACGATTACTTTGGAGGCTGTCTTTTTTCTGAAGGTGATACAAGGATTTTGCATTTGACCTTTGCCCATGGGAGCCAGCCTTGCATTTTTTTTCACAATGAGATGCTTGTAAAGTCTTAGCACTATTCCTGAAAGTGTTGGTAAGATCATCCAATTGGTTCTTGAGGAAATGTGCGGCTTGGCCAGACAGACAGGGAGATGATGGATAGACACCCCTGCCCACCCACCGGACCTTTATAAATGATAAATGGCAGCATGTAAAATTATGTAAAAATGCAGATTAACTGCCAACTTAAATATAACCTCTTGCATATAAGTGAAGGAGTGTGTACGTAATATTGCAGCCAGATGGTAGTTTAGCAGGGCACTTGCCTGGCTCACGATTAGATGAGTGTGAGCTAAAATATTTGTCGAAGGTCGACGCAGCCAATCAACCTCCAGGGTGGATAAAATAGATACCGCTTTGTGACATTGGTAGTTCTGTGATGAGACTCTTCCCCGCCATATGAAACTGGAATTTCTACCACTAGCTCACAAACATGCAGAACGCACGACAGCTCTTGTGAGCACAGACGCAAACTGTCCTTTTGACTGCAACTTTTGTTCTAGTCGAAGTTGAAAGGATTTCGTCCAGCCCTAAGCCAGTGATAGAAATTTCACATTCACATGGCCGAGGCGAATCGATCCCAAGGATAAGTAATGTTGACTTTCCGACAACGCGGTGCTAATTTTATTGACGCCACAATGGATGATGGGCTGAGCTTGCAACTCTCTGATCGCGAGCTGCGAGCGCTATCGCTGAGCCACTTTGCCTTACTGGGCATCTGTGATAAAAAGAGCTTCATAGCTCATCGGATTCCTCCAGTAATAAATAAATATTGTGATTCTGACTTGGTTGACCAAAATCAAAAGTCAATCTCCCGAATAAAGCCCATTGGAGCTCATAAGATTTTTTTTGAAGGGCCACTCGAACGGCAGACAACACCATAGTGTAAGTGATACATCTTACATTTACAATTTCTCATAGAGGAAACACATACTAATTAACGTATTAATATTCTATTATATAATTACCCTCCCTCCGCCTCTGATCTTTTCACTTGATGGGCTCAGTGATGACGTCGTCCTGCTGCTGGGCTATTTAAGGCCGGAAGCAGGTGGATGGCTTCACACTTCTGGCAAATCGCCCGATGATGCTGTATGTAATTACCAGCGAAACGTCGTACTGGTCAAATTGTAAATGTTGTGACTTTACTCTCTAACACACCGGTGGGCTGAAGTAGTAACTAATTAGCGTTTTGTTCACGTGACAAGCCCCTTACCAATTAGCTGTGTCGGGTGGTGGAGGGTTACGACACATTTATA